TATGGTTGCCAACTTTCTGATTGCAGAAAACCCGAACATCCTTGCCCTGCCCCTTTCCTGACGCCCCACTCCTTCTCCAAGGCCCCACCCCCACTCATTCCATCACCCCTCCTTCCATAGGTCGCTCTTCCCCACCTCACACACTTGCTCATTTTCACTGGGCTGGGGTAGGGCATGAGGGCTCTGGCTGGGGGTGCCGGCCCTGGGGTGGGGCAGAGATGAGGAGTTAGGGATGCAGGAGGGGGCTCTGGGCTGAGGCCAAGGGGTTTGGAGTGTGGGAAGGGGCTCCGGGCTCGGGCAGGAGGTTGGGGTGTAGGAGGGGGTACGGGCTCTGGGCTGGAGGTACAGGCTCTGGGGTGGGGCCAGAAATGACAGCTTCAGAGTGCAGGAGGGGGCTCCAGGTGGGGTAGGGGGTTCGGGTGCAGGGGGGTAAGGGCTCCAGCTGGGGGTGTGGGATCTGGGGTGGGACTGGGGATGAGGGGTTTGGAGTTCAGGGGGGGCTCAGGGCTGGGGCAGAGGGTTGGGGCATGGGTGGGAGTGTGGGGGCAGGCTCCAGGAGGGAGTTTTGGTGCAGGAGGGGGCTCAGAGCTGGTGCAGAAGGTTGGGGTGCAAGATGGGATTCAGGGTACGAGCTCAGGTAGCTCCCAGGAAGCAGTGACATGTTCCTCTGACTCCTAGGTGCAGGGGGAGCCAGGCGACTCTGTGCGCTGCCCCCATCCCCTGCAGCTCCCATTGGCCGCACCTGTGCCTAGGAGCCAGAGGGACATGCCGGCTGCTTCCAGGAGCCACGCGGCACCGGCCGCTGTGGCCAACCGCACTTTTAGCAGCCGAACCACCAGGATCCTTTTCGACCGGGCGTTCCAGTCGAAAACCGGACGCCTGGCAACCCTAGTTCAGCTCCAGCAGTAGTAGCAATTAGCGGTGTCTACATGGGGGGCTTAGATCGTCTTAATTACATCACACAGGACATGAACATTTTCACAGCCCTGAGCGATAGAGTTAAGCTGACCTAACTTTGTAGTGTAGAGCAGCCCACAGAAAAATAGTGGAACATGCCATTTGCAGGCTAACACAGAGTTATTTCTGCTTGTACGTAATATACCTTTCCCCTACCTTTTGTCGGTCTTGTGTATTTAGATTGTAAACTCTTTGGGGCAGGGATTGTCAATAGCTCTGTGTTTGTACAATAGGGCTCCCTTCTTGGTTGGTGTCTAGGCACAACCTTAATAAACATAATTAACAACAACAATAGCAGAAATTCTGGAAACATCTAAAACCAAAGTGGGAAAGCCTAAAGTGCTAACAAGTTGTTAAAACTTCCAAATACCAGCTAAACCACTCCTTTGAGAACACTTAAGTTGTTTTAACCACATTGGGTCAGACACAACTCACACAGAAGTTAATGGGAGTTTTGACTTTTAATTTCAAATGGACCAGGCCTACTGTGAATGCATCACAATAAGGTATGGGCCCATCTTGTAAATTCTCCATGTTCAGGACTCCCATTGGCTTCAGAGGTCCACATGCAGAGCATTCACGGGACCACACCCTTAGACCTTGTCTACACTGCCACTTTACAGCGCTGCAACTTTCTCGTTCAGAGGTGTGAAAAAACACCCCCCAGTGCCACAAGTTTCAGCGTTGTAAAGTGGCAGTGTAGACAGTCCACCAGCGCTGGCAGCCACGCTTCCAGCACTGGTAGCTACTCCCCTTGTGGGTGTTGCTTTTTTGCAGCTCTCCCAGCGCTGGTGCCGCGACTACACAAGACAGAGCTCTCCCAGCGCTGGTACCATGACTACACAAGCCACATTAAAGTGCTGCTTGGATCGAATACCCGGTCAGATGATTGGCATTTACACCAGTCAGGGTCAGGGAAGATAAAATAAAGCCCTGAACTGTGGCAGCGCTTTAACATTGCTAGTGAAGACATACCTTAATAAAGGCAAGTGCTGAGCCCGTAGGCCAGGTCTACACTACAGACCTAGGTCAGTATAACTACATTGCTTTGGGTGTGAAAAATCCACATCCCTGAGCAAGTAGTTATACTGACCTAACACCCCTACCACTCCCATGTAGACAGTGCTATGTTGACAGGAGAGCTTCTCCAGTCAACATAGCCACCACCTTTCTGGGAGGTGGATTAACTACGCAGATGGGAAACGCTCTCCCATTGACATAGGAGTGTCTTCACTTAAGCGCCACAGCAGCACAGCTGCATCAATACCATGTTTTAAGTATAGACCTGCCCCTAGTAGCAGATCAGAACTTATTTTGGGAGGCCCTGAGACAGTCTCTTATGAACTCTCACCTCTGTGAGAAACTTCTTGGATCGAATACCCGGTCAGATGATTGGCATTTACACCAGTCAGGGTCAGGGAAGATAAAATAAAGCCCTGAACTAAAGTTCTGTCCAGGACCCTTTTATTGGGACTGGCTTGATTAACAAAAAAAAAAAACAAGAAAATCAGAACTCTCTTTCACAGCTACCAGTGGCCTTTCCAGCTTTCAGCAAGCTAGGTAGGGGGAGGACATATCTTGCCCCCAGGTCACCACTACTGCAGCTCTTCCTCTGTACTTTTATAGCTCCTCCCAGATCACCCATGTAATCGGCATAGAACCTGGGTTCTCCTTGTAACCTCTTACACACTGGGGGCTTACGGAGCACCTTCCTAACTTGACACATGTCCCTACTTTACCTTGCAATGAGAAGCTCTTGAGACCATACCCATCTGCCAGTTCTCCCAATTGCTTCCCAGTAACAAGGGCCTTAATCTTATCGCCCCCGTCTCAGCAGCTGAAACTCTCCTGACTGGGTATAAAGGTATCTATGAAAAGAGAATGGAACATGAAAGAAAAAAACACCATAGCTCGGTAAAAACAAATACTGATGAGAGGAGCTGTACCCACTGGGGATAGCCTATTTAGAGCAAGATAATGCACCCTGTCCAGAAGTTGCAGTAAGATTTATCACAGTAAATATGCCGGTATGAGACTATGATGTGGCACACTCAACATACACAAGCCAGTTCTGCTTAGTGGTAAGATGAAACCTTAATTGTAGAGATGGTTTTAAAAGTTATTTAAGGGTCTGGCTGCTCAAGAGACTGAATGAGACACAGACTGTCACTTCTGGGTCATAGGTCCACATTTGGCCCTGGTCAGCAGGGACTGAAAATGAAATAATAGCTGTTTGGTGGACTATGAAATAAACGCATGGTCCCCATCTAGTTTCTAGTGCGCACACACACACAAAACCACCACCATTAGCAGGCTTGTTTGGAGTCAGGGAGGAACAAATGACTGAGCCTACTGCAAAGACCATGAAGAATGAACAGCTCCCAGTCATCCATTGATGCAGCGTCTCTACATCAGGATGGTGGTTTATCAATGAGGTGATGTATGGAAACTTCCATTGCAGCTACCATTGTAAGCAATGTTTCATGTAAGACTAAAACAACAAGGAGTCCTTGTGGTACTTTAGAGACTAACACATTTATTTGGTCATAAGCTTTCATGGGCTATAACCCACTTCATCAGATGCATGGATTAAAAAAAGTAGGCCTCTGAAGAAGTGGGTTATAGCCCACAAAAGCTTATGCCCAAATAAATTTGTTACTCTCTAAGGTGCCACAAGGACTCATCATTGTTTTTGCTGATACAGACTAACACGGCTACCACTCTGAAACCTGTCATCATGTAAGACTGTCATTCTGGCACCTTCCACAAGAACTAAACTCACAAAAGAAAAAATAAAAATCTAAGTTGCAAGAAAAGATGTTTGGGCCATGAATACTTTTAAGAGACAATCTGAACTTTCATAGTCATTTATTCGGGGCAACAGATTTTCAATACTTGGTTTGATGCTGAAAGGACATCTAGTGGCCAGTTAAAGTAATTCAATGAGTGAAATAACCCTACAAGATGACTCAGGGTTTTTGTTTGTTTGAAAATAGTTTGACACCAGTCCAGATTCCATCTGTTTACAATAGCATTTCCATGTTTAAATTATCATCTAGCAATTAACTTGGGAAAAGGGGAAGTAAAAGCATAACAAGGAACATAAAGTAACATCCGATTAAGCAGAAATGACTGTGCACATGACCATCTGGCACAATCATGGTATTGCATAGACTGAGATCATCTGAAGCTTCTTCTATTTTTTTCTTTGTACATATTCATCCTTCCCCACCCACTACTCCCCTCTCTAGAGATTGTTTCTCAGGGTCAGTATGGAGAAACTTGCATAGCTGCTACCTTGTACAGGTGTGTGGATAACAGACTTCAACTTTCCAGAGCCTGCAATACAACACCTAACTTCATTCTTTAAAGGGTCACTCTAAATTTAAAAATAATTGTTGTAAACTATTTTTACCAATATTACTAGCAATGCTTTAGATCACTAAAAGTGAAAAAAGTAAACATTCAATTTGATTCTCACTATTGATGCTCTTTGTTTTTTGTATTATTTTCCATTTGGACAATGAACATCAGTGAAGTTAGTTCCATTTTGTTTATAGTCAGTTTCGATTTAAAACAGATTATAAAAAATCCAACAATTTAATAAAGGAGCAGAAAAACCCTTATATATTATTTTAAAGGAATTTAAAAAAAATTCCTGAAGGAGCAATTTTTAAATTCCTTTAAAAACAACACCAGGTGGTTTTCCTGCTCCCTTATTTGTGCATATAGCAGCCTTTTCAGGTTTAGCGCTAGATACTTATACCCAATTACTAATTCAAAAAAATGCAAAGCACCCATCGTTCACCCCCAAGCGCACGCCCCGCCCCCTCGTTCACCCCCAGGCCCCCCAAGCGCACGCCCCGTCCCCCTCGTTCACCCCCAGGCCCCCCCAAGCGCACGCCCCGTCCCCTCGTTCACCCCCAGGCCCCCCACGCGCACTGCCCCGCCCCCCGTCACTCTCTCCTCCCCAGCCGCAGGCTCCCTCCATGACCCCGGCATTGCCGCCCCCGATCACATGACCTCGCCTGTTGACCCCGGGCCCGGAAGTGACGCTGGGGCGAAGATGGCCGCTCGCGGTACCTGCTCTCGGGTGGGGAAGGCGCTGGCCTGGGGGCGCTGCTGTGCTGTGGGCAGGAGCCGGGTGCATCGGCTCAGCCTGCAGGTAAGACCTGGGCGAGCTCGGCGGGCCCCTGCGGTAGCCAAGGGCAGCTCAGCCCCGGCCCTCTTCCCCCTCGACTCCCCATCCCCGCCCCCGGGCTCTGTAGGCTCTGTGTGGGCCCCGCCCCTTGTCCCCATTCCTCCGTGTCCGGCCCTTCTTCTGGGCTCTTTCCGTGTTTCCTGTTGGGCCACCGCTGGCCTGGCTGCCCTGTTCCTCCGCCCCCCGCTGGCGCTTTAGCTTCCCTCCGAAGCTGCCCTGGACTGCTCTAAAGTGTGGCTGGACCCCATTTTAATGGGGTTGCCAGGGCTGGCTTAGATTTGCTGGGGTATGGGGCCGAAGCCCGAGCCCCACTGAAGCCCAAGGGTGGCGGGGTTCAGGTTACAGTCCCCCTGCCTGGGGCTGAAGCGCTTGGCCTTTGCTCCCCGCCGGGCAGCGGGACTTGGCGGGCTCAGGCTTCTGAACCCCCCCCCCCCCGGGGTCCTCAGTTATTGGGAGTGGACCACATCTACCCTGACTGAATTGACCTTGTCAACATTGGTTCTCCACGTTTAAGGTAACTCCCTTCTCTTCGTGTGCCAATATATTTATGCCTGCATCAGTAATTTTCACTCCATGTATCTGAAGAAGTGGGGTTTTTTACCCATGAAAGCGTGTGCCCAAATAAATCTGTTAGTCTTTAAGGTGCTACCGGACTCCTTGTTGTTTTGGGGATACTGACTAACACGCTACCCCTCTGATACGTGGGGTTGTGTAGTAATTTTTGTTGTCAGAAGGGGGTCCGGGTGCAATGAAGTTTGAGAACCCCTGCTCTAAAGCATCTAGCATATTTTGAATGCTATATTGATACATTTTATTATACCACAAGTCTCTTAAAAACAAAGACTATGGAAAGCCTATAGAACTTTTAGTAAGTTTAGCTGTGAGTTTAGCTGAATCCTCTTGTTTTATGATTGATCAACGTCTGTTGCTACTTTTCTGCTGTTAGATCCTAGATATTGTCACTGTCTTCCCCTTGCTGGTGCCCACCAATGCCTCCTTGTCTATGAAACCACACTATAGAAAATGCAAGTAAGCCTCATGATCCACTGTTCACTTAATGTGCTTCAAGTGAGAGGTTGCTGCTGCTTATACTCTAGCAAATGGGATGGATGGGAGGAATGTGAATTTGTTGATCCTTGAATTATGAGAGCACATGTCAA